GCACCGTTTCAAAAGTACCGGTTTGGCACCGGTATCAGATAAAACCTAAACGATACCCATCCCTAGATTTAACTGTGAAAGTGGATTTTCATGAGCCAGCGAACAAACCGTGGATACAACGCCTTTCTGACCAGACGAGTCACTGAGCCTATAAACTCATCAGGAAGGTGTTCAAAGAGGTCAGGGCAGACAGCTGCTTTTCCAGCTACAGATACCGCCCCCTGTGGCCATTTAAAAGATTGCAGGTGTAAGCGACATAGAGACTTAGAGAGTTTTATTGTCAATGTGCAGTTTCTCACAGTGAAATTGGGTAGCTGGACCACAAAGGTACAAAAGTAAAGAAGAGAAAACAATATGCAATGAGGGGGGAAAATATATATATATGTATACATATATGTGTGAGTGAACTATATACATGGTGTATGCATAGGAAACATTGAAACAGAAACATTGTGGGGCTGTATACAAGGGCAGTTATATAATAAAGAAAATAAGGGTGGAGGGGCTATGGTCATTTAGGGCGGGGATGGTGATTCCAATGAGACCAAAATATTGCACAATGTACTTGGTGCTACCTTGGGAATTTTTTTTTCCATTTTATTTATTTGAATTATGGAATATTTTACCAACTTTTGGGATAAATATATTTTATATCTTGTTTTATTTGGATTTACTAAAGTTTAAACTTAGGGGTGTGGCCTCTTTGATTGATAGGTGTGTGGTGACACAGGTGGCTTTAGCTGCTAGCTGCCTTCTAGGCTTCAACTCAGCTAACTGTCCCTGAACTGTGTTTGTGCTGTTGGAGCATTTTTAATGACGTCATGTGACCAATAATATGGCTGCTGTGAGGTTACTGTACCAACAGACCTGAACTCCAGTTTGATGAACTGAAGGATGTCTCTGTAAGGCTCCCAAACAGTATCGCTAACCAAGCTAGCTAACATTCTTTCGTGGCTTGAAGAAAGTTGCATGGTGAAACGAAAAAAACCAACCAGGCTTCAAAATGAGGACTCCACATCTTTCACATGGACAAAGCATCCTCTTTCAAAGCCACCGCCTTAGCTGGCAAATTTTACAGAGCGCGCTCTGCATTAAACCTGAATGAGTTCTTTCTTCTGCTTTGCTTCAGCTCTCTTTCACAAAAGTCAGTCTGCTTGTCCTGACAGACAGACGGAGAGACACGTGATGAGGCTGATAATAAACCTCCAAAGAAGAGACAGAGCTGGAGAGGAAGAAGTGACCTTTAGCTCTCTGCAGAAAGAAGAAGAAAGAGCCAGCTGATGACCCTCGTATGAGTCAGCAGACGCACTTGTGAGGTATAATCTCCGTGAACGACGGCGGGACAGAACAGAATAAACAAACTGAGCTCTTCATGAATACCTGTGTGTTAAAAATGTCCAGGCA